ATAATTCTCATATCTTGCACACAAGTGTCATAGATCATAATAAATCAACACATCTAGCATTCATCATCTTAAACATGGACATAATTGTAATTCAAGTGGTTCATTCATTGTATGCATAAGATCATGTACTCATATTGTAGGTTATGTCGGTAAAGTACTTCCATAATAATACCATATACACTTCAACATGCATAATAGCTTCCTTCTTTAAAGCCTCATCATTCATAGCTCATTCATTTTAGCTATTACCCTTAAGGTCCTAGAAGTCATCTTCATATTACAAGCTTTACTCTCAAACATTACCTCACATGGTTATCATGTAAACCTAATTCTCAAGGTAAATTAACCACATGCTTCATTCTTGATCAATTATAGTCATTTAGTATCATATAAAGTCAATCTCAATACTACTCAACCATGGCCCATCATATAAGCCCTAATCAAGTTCATTCATGTCTACAAAATTTACTTGTAAGAATTCAAGTCTAAGTCACCTAATCTAAGGCAATTCATAAAGAAGTTCATCAATCTTAAGAGATCATATCTAACCCCTCAATTTGCCTCTTTCATGGCATAACATTAGACTATATAAATTTTACCCTAGAATCTTAGGTTAATCAAGAATACATGTATATTCATACTAAAATCAGGAAATTACATCATAATCAACCCACGTCCACTCAATTGGAATATTTACCACATACATAACTCTATCACATTCTACTAGTATCAACCAATACCCATACTTGAGATCCAATTTGGGAAGAAAGGGGAATCCATGGATTCTTGGGTAATTCATCATTAAAACAGTAGTAATTCATCAATTTAATCATAATATAAATCAATTAAGTCATTGAAATTGTTTTGAAAGTGAATCCATGCCATAGATTGAAAACCCTAGGTTTTGGAGAATTTCAACTTTGAGAAATAGAGTTTTGAAGGGCTTTATAGAAGGAAACTATCCATAAATCAAGACTACCATACCTCTTTGAAGATTCTTCGTGAACTTTGGTAGGAAAGTTGAGTTCTTGAACACTAGACTTCAAATCCTTATTCTTCTTCAATGGAGGTTTCCTAGAGAGAGAACTATTTGAGAGGAGAAGAACTTTTTGATTTGATTTGGGTCTTGGGGGTTAATAAAGTAAAATGGGTGGTTTATGACTTAAAATAGTTTATATATGTGAAATAAAACAATATAAATTGACCCCATTAATTAATTAACTAAAAAGAAATTTACCAAAAAGACCCCCCCCCCCCCCCCCATAGGTAGCCCATTCCCAGGCACCATGGCAGGGCTCAAGAGCCGTGGTCCTACCTGTGTCCTTGGGCAATGGCTACACTTTGATGCCTTGGCCTCCACAATTCTAAGGCATGACCACGAGCCTTCCCACGAGCCGTGGTCATGACCATTGGCCGTGAAGTGGCTCATGGTCCTTAGGCAATGGCTTAGCCTCAAGGTCTTGACTTCTACAATCCTAAGGGACCTTCACGAGACCCCTCATGAACCGTGGTCAAGACCAATGGTCGTGAAGGTGGTTGTGAACATGGGACAGACCTTGGCTTAAAGTGCCTTGACTATCCTTATTCTAAGGCATCTTCACGAGCCTTCCCATGAACCGTGGTCAAGACTATTAGTCGTGAAGTGGCTCGTGAAGGTAGGCCACTTTGAGGCAGCCATTAAGGAGATACTACCTTGGCCTCACGAACCACACCATGAGCCGTGGTCCACACCACTGGCCGTCGTGGTGGTCGTGGACTTGAGGCAGTGTGCTTCAAGCTTGGGGCAGCCTTGGCCTTTGGCTTAGGCTTTTCCCCTTTGCCTTGGCACTTGCCCTTGAAATCCTCAACCAAACCTTAGAAGGTCTTCTAATAAATAGGGTCTAACACGTACCTTGACGTTTAACCACTAAACCCCTCATTTTAAGCATGAGAAGTCTTATTTGCGACTCTAACCCTTAACATCAAACTCTAGCATCCTTGCTTAGGGCTCTAGTTTAGTCTATTATTTTCTGGAGTGTTACTGAATCTTCAGAATTGAAATAAAAATAAATCATTGAGAATACATTGAGGATCCTATCTTAAAAGAGGAGGATCTAGCTTTAGGGAATATAAGAGAACTTTTAACAGTTTCCTACCTTCATTTAAAATATGTCCCTTGATCTTAGGCATATTCATATGCCTAAGTTGTCAATATTTCCTATGAATTGATTAAATTGAAGAATGATCTTTAATTGTTAGCTTGATTTTTGGTGTAACTTGTGATGATTGTGTACTCACACATATGATTAGATATTTCAGGAACTCTCGATGAAATTGGAGTTGGAGCGAAGAAAGAAGGAGAGAAAAATGAGCAAGAAAACGACTAAGGCAAAAATCAGCAGTGCTCGGCGCGCCACGCCAGAGGATGCGGGACTGGGGCATGTTTGGGGGGGCGCTGCTGGGCGCGACGCGCCAGGATTTCAAGAATGCAGGTGCCTCTGTGGTGCGATGGCAGGCGCGACACTTCAAGGAAATGCCAACTTTTCCAGCTAAAAAATTATTGAATAGGATTCCTAATTGTAGTGGGATTTGACTCCAACTTTTCTAACTCTTATAAATAGACTCCTAGGGCTCCATTGTTAGGGTTCGACTTTTGATTTAGTTTGCAAGAGCAAGAATCCAAGTTTGTAATAGGTTTTGATCTTCTAACTCTTTTATTTTCCGGAAATTGCTTGAACAATTATATTTTGTGGTTTTCTAATATTATGAGTGGCTAAACGCCCTAGTTCTGAGGATGTAGCTACGAATGAATTGTTGATAATTAAAGGCTTGTTGAATTAAATCTTGGTTGTCATTACAAGTTATTTTTATATTCTTGTTTTAGTATTTTATGATTGCGCACCATAAGATAAATCTATTGTCTAATCTTAAAATCGAGAGAGGTGGGATTAAATAGACCAGAGAATATAGAGAGCTCGGTCCACCCATTAGATTGAGGTGATTAGTGTTCAGGAGTGACGTCCAGACGAACACCTTGCTTGGTTATGAAATAGGATGAAATATAAATGCTCGCCAGTTAGTCTATTTATCCCTGCTCAACAATGTAGTTAGAGAGCTAACTGGGATAGGCGACGAGAGACGTATAACCCAGATCATATCATCAAACTTATAAACCAGTTTCTTGACAACTGAAATTCGTTCTAAGCCAATAATATGATACATGATATTCTTTATATGCTGCAGCCCTGGAATTGCTTTTAACTTGCTTGAAACATTATATCAAAGTCGTTCACAATTAGTTACTTTCAATTAGTGCATAATTATTAGTAGATTAACAATAAATCATCAACTCTTGAAAAAGTTACTTTTTACTTTTAGTTGTAGAATTAAGTGAATATAAGTTGATCATAAGTCCCTTGGGAACGATAACTCATTTTAAAAAAAAATCTATATTACTTGCGCGACCACGTACACTTGCATGTATATTGGGGAGCCACAAGTTTTTGGCGCTGCTGTCGGGGACTTAGAAATTGATTTGTATTCGATCTTCTTAAGTCTACAATTAGAATATTTAGGTATTAATTACTTGATCTTAGCTTGTTTATTACAGGCACTTGATTTTCAGGTCTAGCTCGGAAGGGAGAACTTGTTGAATCTTACAATAAACTCGAAAAAGTTTTACGTCAACGCAGAAAAATGAATCAGGGACGACAAGGAGAATTGGGGTTACGTCCTCCGGGAAATATTGATGATGATACTCAAGACAACTTGAATAACCCAGAAAGCGTGAATAACCAAATGAACCTGAATAACCAAGGAGTATCGCATGTCGTACCCGCAAGACCAGTCCGTGATGTGGTAGTCCCACTCATAGCCAATTTGGCATCTAGCATTAGGAAACCTCCACCAGGGGGTAGATTTGAACTAAAGCAGAGCATGACAGAGATCTTCCATTCTAATGGGCAATTCAGTGGTCTCCCCCATGAGGATCCTCAAATCCATCTTAGACCTTTATAGATATTACCAATACATACATCTCAATTGGAGTCTCATCGGACTATGTGAAGCTGACTTTGTTCCCGTACTCATTGTTAGGAGCTGCAAGGCGTTGATTAGATTCTGAGCCACCAAACTTGATCACTACTTGGGATGATCTATCAAAGAAATTCTTGAGTCAATTTTTTCCATCCAAGAAAATCGCTAAGCTGAGGGGTGAGATAATAAACTTTGTTCAAAAACAAGGGGAGGACATGTACCAAGCATAGGCGCGTTTCAGACAAATATTGAATGCTTGCCCACACCACATGCAAGCTAATGAGGTACTTGCTCACACTTTCTTTGAGGGTTTAGAATATAATGCTCGTGCTCTTCTTAATAGTGCAGCAGGTGGACAAGCCCTATCTAGAACAAGTGAAGAGTTTTTTGACTTACTCGATAAACTTTCTGAAGGGAACCAAGGGTATGAGGGGGAAATGTCTAGAACCCCAACCTAAAAGGTTGCAGGGATCTTAGATGTAGACCAAACTACTGCCATAAATGCCAAATTAGATGTAATGCAACATAACATGACCTTAAATTTTCAACAAATGACTCTAAATCAGGCACCAGTAAACGTGGTACAACAGGCAGCAAATTGGTGTGAGGTATGTGGTAGTGGAACTCATGAAACCGAGCAATGTGCGGCAAACTCGAATTCCGTAAACTATGTGGGTAATGCGCAAAAGGGTGGAATGTAACAAAATTATGGTAACACTTACAACCCTGGTTGGAAGAACCATCCTAACTTCTCATAGGGTGGTAACCAAAACCAAAATCAGGCTCAAGGGGTTGGACAACAATACTTCAATACTAACCAAGGCCTAAATCCTAGTGCACCAAAAAGGGGGATGACCAATGGAGAGCTACTCCAAAAGCTCATGACTGAAATAGGGACCAAATTAAATACTAGAATAGATAAGCATGATGAGAACATTAGAAACATCCGGATGTCCCAAATGAGTTTAGAGAAACAGGTTGCGCAAATGGCTAATTCTTTTAACTTGCGTCCCCAAGGTGGGCTGCCCGGTGATACTGAGCCCAACCCAAAGCAATTGCATGCGGTAAGTACTAGAAGTGGGCTGCAATTAGAGGAACTAGCTCCACAGAAGAGAGACACTGAGGTAAGTAACAAAGAAAAGAAGGTGGAAGAGGTAGTAAAAAGCTCCAATGCTGAGGTACTCGTTCCTCAAAAAAAATTACCACCTCCATTTTCACAAAGGCTGAAAAAGCAGAATGAAGATGAATGCATCTGTAAGTTTCTCTGTCTCTTTAAATAGGTTCACATTAATCTACCTTTGGTTGATATTTTGCAGGGTATCCCGAAGTATGCTAAATACGTGAAGGACATTGTGGAGAGCAAGATGAGGCTCACTGAATATGAAACTATAGCACTTACTGAGGAGAGAAACTCAAGGATCCAAAACAGACTGCCAAAAAAGTTAAAAGGTCCAGGTAGTTTTACTGTGCAGATTACAATTGGGCAAAGTGTTCATGCCCGGGGGTTGTGTGATTTGGGGGTAAGTATAAATTTGATGCTCTTATCTTTGTATAAAAAGTTTGGGTTGGGTAGTCCAAAACGAACCACTGTTATTCTCCAACTCGCTGATAGATCCATTGCTAGGCCAGATGAGGTGGTAGAAGATGTGTTACTGCAAGTAGGTTCATTGATTTTTTCGGTAGATTTTGTGGTCTTAGACTTTGAACCCGATTCTGAAGTTCCATTCATTTTGGGACGACCTTTCTTGGCCATGGGTAGGGCATTGGTTGATGTAGCAGCTGGTCAACTAACTATGAGGGCACATGATAAGGTTAAGGTATTTGATGTTTACCATGGTTTAAAATTACCTTCTATTTATGAAGAGTTGTCTGCTATTATTGTGGTTGATCGCATGGTAGAATCACAAGTAGTTGTGCCCGAAGATCGTTTAGAAAGAGTGTTAGAGGGTCATGAGATAGAGGGAGACACTGAAGCTCAAGAGATTGAATCATGCTTAAATCTAGCACTAGTAGACACTCGTAGGAATCAAGTGGAGTCACTAGATCGCGAGTTGGCCCCCCCACCAAAGCCATCAATAGAAGAAGCCCGTACGTTGGAACTAAAAGCTTTGTTAGCTCACCTAAGGTATGCTTATTTGGGTACTAATGAAACTTTGCCTGTTATACTTTTTGCAGAATTGTTTGACTTACAGGTTGATGCGGCATTGAGGATCTTAAAGCGGAGGCGGAAAGCAATTGGATGGCAGATGGCTAATATTCATGGGATTAGTGTGGCGTTATGCATGCACAAAATTTACATGGAAGAGGATCACAAACCCAAAACACAACATCAACGTCAACTGAATCTTGTGATGAAAGAAGTAGTAAGAAAGGAAGTCATAAAGTGTCTAGATGCTGGAATTGTGTACCCAATCTCTGATACTAAGTGGGTAAGTCCGGTACAATGTGTTCCTAAGAAGGTAGGTATGACAGTGGTAAGGAACGAAAAGAATGAGTTGATTCCTACTAGAATAGTGACCGGGTGGAAAATTTGCATGGATTACCGGAAACTAAATGATGCTACCCAAAAAGATCACTACCCCGTTCCCTTCATTGATCAAATGCTTGATCGACTAGTAGGGTAGGAGTATTATTGTTTCGTAGATGGATATTCCGGTTACAAACAGATCTTGATTGCACCCAAGGATCAGGAAAACACCACGTTCACTTGTCCTTATGACACATATACTTTCAATTGAATGCCATTCAGACTTTGCAATGGATCGGTGACTTTTCAAAGGTGTAGGATGACCATTTTTCATGATATAGTGGAAGACTTTGTTGAGGTGTTCATGGGTGATTTTTCCGTCTTTGGGAAGTCTTTTGAGGTATGTCTCAGAAATCTTGATAAAGTACTTGCTAGATGTGAAGACACTAACTTAGTTCTAAACTGGGAAAAATGTCATTTTTTTTGTAAGAGAGGGGATAGTGTTGGGACACAAGGTGTCTAAGGTAGAAGTTATTGAGAAATTACCCCCTTCCATTTCTATTAAAGGTGTGCGTAGTTTTCTTGGTCATGCAGGTTTTTACAGGCGATTCATCAAGGATTTTTCCAAGATTGCCAGACTTATGTGCAGTCTTTTGGAGAAGGAGGTGAAGTTTGACTTTGATGAGATGTGTTTGAAAGCTTTTGAGATGTTGAAGAGGAATTTAATTGAGGCTCCTATCTTAATTGCTCCTGATTGGGGATTACCATTTGAACTCATATGTGATGCAAGCGACATAGAAATGGGTGCAGTGTTGGGACAGAGAAAGAATAAAGTGTTCCACTCAATCTATTATGCAAGCAAGACGCTTGACTCTACACAAGCTAATTACACAGTGACTGAGAAGGAGATGCTGGCTCTAGTGTTCGCCTTCGACAAGTTCATATCGTATTTGGTAGGTACTAAAGTGATTGTTTTTACTGATCATGCAGCTATTAGGTACTTGTTCAACAAGAAGGGTGCTATACCAAGGTTGATTTGATGGATATTTCTTCTCCATGAATTTGACCTTGAGATCAAAGATAGGAAAGGTACTGAGAATCCAATAGCTAATCACTTATCTAGGTTGGAGGATTTTTCACATGTAAATGAAGGTGAGCAAATCCGGGAACAGTTTCCGGATGAACAATTGATGGCATTAGATATCTCTCAAGTACCATGGTATGCAGACATTATGAATTTCATAGTAAGTGGTGATTATCCTCCGGGTTCAACCACCCAACAAAAGAAAAAGCTCAATCATGATGCCAAGTTCTATATATGGGATGAGCCGTTCTTGTTCAAGTAAGGTGTAGACCGGGTAGTGAGAAGGTGCATTCCGGAGTCTGAGGTTCACAAAGTGCTCGAAAGTTGTCATGCCATCCCATATGGTGGTTACCATGGAGGAGAGCGCACTGCTCATAAGGTACTACAATCTGGTTTCTTTTGGCCCTCGTTATTTAAAGATTATATTGCTTTTGTGAAGGGTTGTGATAAATGCCAAAGGTTGGGTACTATTTCAAGAAGACATGAGATGCCGGTAAGTAACATTTTGGAGGTGGAAATCTTTGATGTGTGAGGTATTGACTTCATGGGTCCATTCCCGATAACTAGTGGAAACCAATACATTCTTGTGGCTGTGGATTATGTTAGTAAATGGGTTGAGGCGGTCGCTCTTCCTTCCAATAATTCAAGGGTGGTGATAAAGTTCATAAAGAATCACATCTTCACTCGCTTTGACATTCCAAGGGCAATTATAAGTGATTGAGGTAAGCATTTTCATTAACCATCTTGTTAAAAATCTTCTTGCTAAGTATGGTGTTCGTCATAAGGTTTCTACAACTAACCATCCTCAAACGAGTGGCCAAGTGGAGGTTTCAAATAGAGAGGTGAAGTAAATTTTGCAGAAAATGGTGAATGCACAAAGGAAAGATTGGTCTGAGAAATTAGATGATGCGTTGTGGGCATATAGGACTGCATATAAGACACCAATACGGACTTTTCCCTATCACATAGTAATTGGGAAAGTATGTCACCTTCCGGCGGAATTAGTACATCAAGCATATTGGGCAATCAAGAAGCTGAACTTAGACCCCAAGCTAGCCTGTAAAAAGAGAGTGAATCAACTGCATGAACTTGAGGAGTTTAGGCTCCACGCATATGAGAATGCCAAGCTTTACAAGGAAAAGATGAAGAGGTGGCATGACAAGCATATAGTAGCTCGTACTTTCAATCCGAGAGATAAGGTACTACTCTTTAACTCTAGACTAAGGTTATTCCCCGAAAAATTAAGGTCGAAGTGGAGTGGTCCTTTCGAAGTGGTCAGAATGACACAACATGGGGCTGTTGAACTTAAATATAAGACTGACCTTATGCTCTTGGTCAACGGGCAAAGGGTGAAATACTATTTTGATGAGGATTATGATCGTGATCGGGAAGCTCTTAAGCTAAATGATGAATGGTCCAAGTTGTGTCGTGCCGCAACGTTAAATCAAGCGCTACATTGGAGGCAACCCATGAATAATATTTAATAGATAGATAGTTCGTCTTTGAATTCTTGAATTTTTTTTGTTTTAACGTAGTTTGAATTCTTAGAATTTAGGTTAGTTATAGCTAGATAGGATTTTCTTTTATTATTTGTACCTTAGTATGTAATAGTAAAAAAATAAAAAATTGAGCCAGGCGCACTGGTTGGCGCGTCGCACCTAGCCTCGTACATCAGACGAGAGTCTCAAGCGCGCTGCGCCAAGGGTCAACTGACTGGGGCACTTCTCAAGCGCGCCATGCCAAGGTCCAACTGACTGGGGCACTTCTCAGGCGCGCTGAGAGGCGCGTCGCCCCATCTATCGCGTCCCTGCCCAAATTTTTAAAATTTGGGTTTTTACCCGGATTTTTCCCGACCCACTCCTAATAAAACCCCCCAAACCCCACACTCTTCCCCTAATCCCACATTTTAAAACCCAATTTCTCTCCATATTCTCTCTTCCCCAACTCTTCTTCTTCCCTAACCTCTTCTCCTTCCTCCATTAGAACTCCAATTTTCTCCATTAAACTCACAAAAAAGACCTTTCCTTTTCCATCCTCCACTTATAAAACCAAACACTCACTCCACCCACTTCCTTCTCACTCCAAATCTACCTTTCTCAATTTTTTTCTCTTCTCCTACCTTAACCCAATCCCCCTTATTTTCTTGTAATTTTTGTTTGTTTTTTTTTCTCTTTTCTTTCTTATCAGGTGGTCATGGCTCCTAAGGCAAAGAAAATGGTGGGTTCCAACTGGAGTAGAAAAGGAGAAGCTTCTGGGTCCTCTAGTGGCCGGGAACCGGTGCAAAAATTTGATAAAAAGCTTGTGGAAAGGTATGGGTAGGAATGGTTCGAATGCCAAAGAGAGGCGAAGTATATGAGCGACGAATTTGTGAATGAGGTACGGTTACAGTCACAATTTCCTGATACATATCAGACTATTAATGAGTTGGGTTTGAGGTTTATATTTGAAAATTCGGGGGATTGCAATTTGACATTAGTGAGAGAATTTTATGCTAATTGGCTAACTGAAACAAAATATAAAACTTTGTCTATTAGGGGGAAAAATGTCAAGTTTTCTGGCCAAATTCTGAATGAGTTGTTAGGAACCTCGAATTGTGACCCTGATGTGTTTAATGACTTGAAGGATAAACCTCCTTATAGGGATATCCGACATACCTTGTGTGGGGTTGATTCGAATGCTAGGTGGGAGCGGAGTAAGGACACTGGGAGGCATAATACCCTCTATTTTGCTAGCTTTAATCAGGTGGCTAGGGTGTGGCTAAAGATAGTGTGTAGTGTGTTGCTTCTTGCCAAACATCTGATTGAGGTGACAAGAGATAGGGTGGTATTAGTATATATGATGATGAAGGGCATGCCCATTAATGTGAGGGTTATCCTGAGGCAAAGTATGATGAAATTTAAGAATAATATGAGGTGGAGGTTCTGTTACGGGGGATTGATCACCCGTTTTCTGAGGAGTGAGGGTATTGAAGAAGAAACGGTAGATATGACTGTTGCTTATCACCCGGATCTGACGAGTAAGTTGGTTGATGTGATTCGAACGAAGACATTAGACACATCCCATGGACAGGTTCTGTCTGCCCGGGGAGAGACAAACCCGTGACGATAGCGTTATGGTAAGGATGTTTGGTATGCCTGAGTTGTAGTTGCGGATTGGAGGCCGTCCGGTCACTGACGATGAGATGGAGACCTTGGCTGATCGTTATCCTTTGATCGATAGTGCAACCTTTATGTGTAAGTCTGGTCCCGCATTTGGATGATGATGAGGCTACTGCTGATGAGGCGATGTATGATGATGATGAGGGTGCTATTGTAGATGGCGAGGCGAATTCCTTAATGGTGTTCGAAGGTGGTGATGACGAGGCCTAGAGGCCCCAGGGAGTATTCCTAACCTTATATTTTATTTTAATTGTGCACTGAGGACAATGTTTATCTTTAAAGTGTGGGGTGGAGTAATATTCTCTGTTGTATATTGTTGTTTACTGCTTTATTGAGTCTAGTTGTTAGTTTCTAGTTTAATTTTTTTTTGGGTTCCTCAAAGTTTATTTTCGATACTTTTACTGAGGATTGTCCCTTTGAACCGTATATGATTACTTTATTGTTTTATTGAGTCTTACAGTCGTCTTAGGAGTGACAGTTCCCAATGATTGATTGATTAAGGGAAAATTAGTCACATAGAGGAGTATGATTGAAACACCAACTTGGTATTTTGAAGCTATTTCCGAATAAGTTAGCCAAACGTCATGGGTAGTTATACTTGGAAAAATGCAATAGATAGTTGACCTTATAATTAGCATGTGTTCTTAAGTTTGACTCGAAATAAAATGAAAATAGGCTTAATTGTGTAGTAATACCGTAATGCAACTTGTATGAGCATGTTAGTTGATATATCCTTATATGTGTCATAATGCCATGTGTGGTGAGAATTGATTGGTTCTTTTTTCTTAACTTGATATCTAGAACTTGCCTTGTGTGTGTTGAATTAGTAGCTTGTATGACTTAGGGAATGTGATTGAGGCGTTTCTTTGAATTAACCAATTCTTGACTCTACTTGTATGCCTACAATTGAAATTATCCCTAGTGAAGCCCCATTAAGCCTTTAGCTTTGTTTATTGATAAACCACATGATAAGCCGAAACCCGTTTGTTTGATACCAAGCCTTTTGATCCTATGAAAATTCTTAATGCACTATGTTAAGAAGAAGGGTTGAAAATTGTTGGTTGATATAGTAAGGGTGAAATGCCACATTGTGTGGAAAAGAAAATTCTATTTTGGCCCTGGTCCTTAGTGACAATGTGCACCTTGACTAAAATTGAGAGTGACTAATTTAGAACTATGCTCGAAACATTGGCTCTAATCCTATCAAGGATAATGTGTACCTTACTCGGATGTTAAAATCTAGAGTTTGGATGGCTAGTGCAAAAGCATGAGAAAAAAATATGATGAAAAAGAAATAAAGGGCAAATATGGAGCAACAAAGGGGGTATATAGTCATGAAGTGTATACTAGGAGGAAGGAAAAGCTATGAAGGAGATTGCTGGCAAAATAATAACATGTGAATGATTCCCAAATATTCCATCCCTTACCTTTAGCCGACATTACAACCAAATGAAAGTCCTCTTGATTCCTTGAGAAGTATAATGCAAAAGTAAGAGCACACTATAGGCAAGCTTATGGTATGTTGAGGAAAGTAAGAATTTGTTTTGTGAGAGTGAGTTGATTGTTTGAAAAAAATAGGCCTTGTTGAGTTTGAAATTGTTTAAGTGAAAGGCTTTACTAAACATAAACAAGTGAAGGCATTCATGGCATGTGTAGGATTATCTAATTGATGTGTGGTATGAGTTTGCATTAGCCCGGAAAAATAACAAAAGAGTCATTCTTTGAGCATGTGTTGTACTTGGTGTAAATGTTATGAATTGTTGCATCCAATGTGAACTACAAGATCATGATTAAAAAAATGTTTGGTTGATCTTTAAGGTGGGTTGATAAATCCAAGGGTTATGAAAAAGAGTTGATAAGTTTGAAGGTTGTTTGAGGACAAACAAAAGTCTAAGTGTGGGGTGGGTGGTGATCTTAGGGATATTCATATGCCTAAGTTGTCAATATTGCCCATGAATTGATTAAATTGAAGAATGATCTTTAATTGTTAGCTTGATTTTTGGTGTAACTTGTGATGATTGTGTACTCACACATATGATTAGATGTTTCAGGAACTCTCGATGAAATTGAAGTTGGAACGAAGAAAGAAGGAGAGAAAAATGAG